CGAATCTAAGGAGGCTGATCCTGAATTCAATCCAGACTGATTAATCAGATTCAAGACGCCGTCAAATCCGGATACCTCATTTACCTGGGCTGATTCTGTGATCGATAGTATAGATGAAGATTGGGGCTCTGACGTCAAAGAGGTCGGGGATGTCAATCCAACTTCTTCAAGGTTTGCATCTATTCGTGTCTGTAGATTATCCGTAGGGCAAACCGTAGAGCAAAGTGAATTGAGATGCTGAATCCTAAACTGTTTCGCCTGAGTTTTGGAGATCAGAAAAGAAGAAGGAATTTCAGAATCTGCCGACGCCTGAGAAATCGTTAGCAGATCAGTTTCAAAAGTTGATAACTTTACAGTTTCGGTAGGCAAACTTGCCTTAGAGAGATCACCACCTATAAGGCATAAAAGAAATCACGAGATAAATCTTCGCAAAAATTGCCTACTTGTGTTGCTAGTTAACAAGAGATGCATATCAGACCTAGTTGAATAAGTTGCCGAAAAAAGGGATTTTGATTTAAAATATAAATGATTATGATATGAAGATCAAGATGCTTTGGCATCTGTTTTGGTCGCAGACTCCTTTCGCTGAATAAAAGTGAATTGACCTCTTTTTCACAACTTGGTCGTGTTTTCAAGTAGACCTAGTTGAATGCACTTCGTCTCAAGTCTTCTCCTATAGTAGTTATGATAATTTCCAGCATCGAGAGTGGACTTGGTACATTTCCATAGGTTTAGACGACATCAACAGCGAGTCTTGCCACTATCAGAAACAATTTGAAACTTTTCAAAGACTTGTCTCTTTGATGAGCTGTTGCATGAGTAATTGGCCTGATTATTACACATCCATTATCATTAGGATCAAAAAGCATAGAAGTGATATGGAGGAGCATCCAGAGATAAAACAAGAAATAAGGCTGAGTGCAGCTTCAATTATTAGACTTATTAACCTATCCATGAGTACCACATACTTTACACAAGAATTAGCGATAGGATCTTGCCTGGCTCCCATCTTGGCGAACATTTATATGGCAAGACCGAAGGAACACTTCCTGCAAGAGGCAATACTAACCTAAAATTGTGGGTTAGATACATGGATGAATATTTTGTCATCTGGCCTCATGGTAAGAAAAGTTTAGATAATTTCCTACTTTCATTCAACCAGCTTGAAAGGAACATTAGGTTTACGATGGAAATGGAAGCGAATAAGTCCTTACTTTTTCTGGACGTTCTCATCATTATAGAAGAGGGTATGTTAGGAAGAGATGTTTATAGGAAGCCAACATATGTTGGCTCTTTGCTTAATATTCTTTCCAACCATAGTTACAAGACTAAGATTGGAATTTTGAAATCAATGATTCTTAGAAGTATGAGGCTAGCGAATAGCAAACATGACGTCATGCCTTCTCTCAAAAAAGATAGGCGAATTCGTAAAAAGTGGTGGATAAAAACGGTGCTCAGGAGTATATAGCATCAAATATGGGAACTGTGAGCAAAAGTATATTAGTGAAACAGGAAGAAAGATCAGCCCACGAATCAAGGACCAACAAAGACTCAGCAGAAACATAGATACAGAAAGATCCGAAAAAGCGGAATACATCGCACGAACGGGATAGTAAATGGAGTGGAAATCAACAGAAAGGTTGGCTGCATATGGTAGGAATACAAGAAAAGATAAGATACGAGAGCCCATTGATATTCTGA